TCGATCGAGTTGACAGCCGGGCAGCGAGTGCCGAGTGGGTCGTCGAGTGCACCGAGGGAGTCTGTTAGTGTATCGCGGTTAGTGCATCGTCGAAAGAGCGTATTGAGCTCCGGGAACGACTGAACCAAAGAGTCGGGAGCTGTGCTCGTGTGTCGTCGAGTGCATCGCGAGTTGTAGCGTGGAGTGTCTCAAGAGTACGTGGAGTTCCGAGAACGACAGAGCAGAGTCGGGAGCTGTACTCTGGTGCAGGAAGCTGTCTCCACCGTTATTGCCTGACAGTGTAAAGGCTGTGTCGCTGAACGTGTCAGCGTGTTTATAGTAGTTCTTCGACGACTGTAACGTGATTTTGGAGCTATCTGATTAAGATTGGTAAATAAAGTGTGTTTCGATATTTCATCAAGTGCTGTCGTCATTATTCACTCCAAATCCACACGATTCCCGTACGAACGTGAAGAAAGAAAATAACGTAACAACTGGTGTCAGAAAAGAATAACGCAACAATCTGTTGAAATCAAAACGTTAATTAATGGAAACTGAATGACATTCATTGGGAGCTGGGAATACATCAACGTCTATCCATCCCGCGGCGCAAGCCCTTCTTATTGTAGACACCTCGAACTCTCAACGTGCAGTTTGGAAGTAATTTTCTAAAAAGAGAGTATCACATATGCCACATTATTCGCTAAACATAATTCGAGCTCTTTTTTGGATGCTCGGCTTTATGGCTCTGGACATTTTCTTTTTGCACGCCCGGTTTGATACTTTTAATTCTCTCTATCTATAATACGATTTATGGGTGATTATTAATATTTAAGAATGTATATGTAACTTTCCAGCCACTTGGTCACTGAATACTTTACGCCTTGTACTCCTAATGTTTCAGTTATCTAAAACAACATAGTCAAGTTCTGCACTGATGGACACTTTTTTTGAGCTGTTGTATTGCTCATACAAGTACTTTGTTAAAAATGTATGAACAAATTATACATTTTTTCAAGAACATATATATATATTTCGTATTATAAGGCTAACTTTAATTATGATCATCTTTTATTTTAGTCTTAATTATTTATTATATTTAATGCTATTTTTGTATTTGTTTGTTGCACCACAACCTTGAAATACACGTACAAGCAAAATTTTTTGTTAAGGGGATTCATACGCCTTAAAACCCATAAGATATTCGAATAGGTGACTGTTGCAAGAATTGGGATAACTTATTTATTTTAAAAGCAATTACTACCAACTTTTTACAGCTGACTACATAATATAGCTGCTTTTTGAAATAGTAATCAGAAAGTTTGTGATGCCACAAATATTTTTATAATTTAATCCGCTTTGTGACAACATTTTTTGTCCTGTTTCCAACTTGCGCGCACAGTTTAAAACATTCTGTTTCATAATTTAATTCCATATTTAATATATAGCTTTTATAACATTTGGAAACTACTGTGAACCTATAATTCTAAAAATTTCATGTTACATTTTTATTTTATTTTGAGTTAAGTTTATAAAATGTATTTTATCAAAAACATTTTAATGTTTTCGTCCATGAAATTTTTCAATATTAAAATATTCATCAGATTGTTGGTTCAGTTAGAAAATAGTGCCCACATAAAGAATTCCAGGAAATTTCAAGTATGTACCATTAGCCATTTTTAAAATATCATGCGCGCAAGGGGGAAACATGGCGAAATATTTTATCACAAAGAGGATTAAATTATAAAAATATTTGTGGCAACACAAACTTTCTGGTTACTAGATTCCAAAGCAGCTATATTATGTAGTCAGCTGTAAAACGTTCGAAGTAATTGCTTTTAAAATAAATAAAATATCCCAATTCTTGCAACAGTCACATATTCGAAGATCATGAGGGGTTTAAGGTGTATGAGTCCCCTTAAACTATATATTGAAAATTCTAGCAGTTTTATTAATGCTGAAGGCCTATAGTAAAACGAAGGAGAAGATCCTGCGAATCTCTCTAGTGAACTCCGTATTATGTTCTTGTAACTAATAGTTGAAAGTGGATAATAAAAGGGGTTGACAATGGATTTTTTTATCTCAACTGCAATACGCTGTTCTGAAGATTAACGCATTTCAGTTATTAAAAGTATTTAATGGAAGAAATAATTCTTTGTTAAAAACTACCGTGTATTTCGAAGGGAAGCTGTTTCCTCATTAGAAATTCCTTCTTCCTCTTACTGATTCAATTTCCAGAGAGTGCTGTTTTTATATTATGTCGGATATGCTTTACTTTTTATCTACACTGGTGTGCAAAAATTAAGAACGAAGTCGAAAAATTAGCATATCAGCTGAACGAAGAGGCAGAGCGGACAGAAAGACCAATCAGGAGATTAAGTAAGGTGATGTACGGTAGCACATGCGCAGATATGCAGGTAGACGTAATGGGGAGTGTCTGAGTAGTATAAAGCATGTTGTAGGTGTAAGATCAGTATTTCTGGCAAAGAGATCGCACGCCGTATAGCAGTTAAAATCACACCGAGTTGCTGCCTCAGCAAGAAATGGCGAATAATCAATCTGTTAGACGACATCTGGATGCTTTTACCCGAGGTCGAATCATTGGAAAGTTGGAGGAAGGCCGCAGTGTGACAAGTATGGCTGCAGAGTTCGGAATTGCTCACAGCATCGTTTCACGACTTTGGAGACAATTTCAAACTACAGGAACAGCTATTCGGGGGTTTAGTAGTGGTCGTCCATGAGGAACCACTACCGCAGATGACCGGTATATTGCCTTACAGGCCAGAAGAAACAGGCGGCAGACAGCGGGAGAAATCGCTAGACACACGACACAGGCGACTGGACGACCGATATCGCGTTTTACCGTGGCCAGAAGACTGCACGGTGGTGGTCTGTTTGCACGACGCCCTGTACGGTGTATACCTCTAACGCCTGCCCATCGGAGAAGGCGTTCTCTGTGGTGCCGGAAACACCGGAATTGGAGAGACAATGAATGTAATGAGTACTCTTTACAGATGAGAGCAGATTCAGTCTGAGTAGCGATTCTCATCGCATACTCATCTGGAGAGAGCGGGGAAGCCGCAATCATCCCTCGAACATCATTGAAAGGGACAGGTATGGAGGTGGCGGTGTTCTCGTTTGGGGAGGCATCATGCTTGGTAGTCGTACAGACCTTCACATCTTCGACGCAGGTTCAGTCAACGGGACCCGTTATTGTAACGAGATTCTTCTTCCATATTGCGTCTTTTTAGAGGCGCTATGGGTCCGCAGTTCCTTTTCATGGACGACAATGCACCATGTCATCGCACAGTAGCTTCCGAACAGCTATTAGAGAGTGAGGATATTGAACGTATGGATTGGCCGGCACGATCTCCGGATCTCAAGTAAAGTATGGGATTTTCTTAGGCAGACGCTTGGCAGCTCGTACCTTACCACCAGTAACGATTCCGGAGCTTCGATTCGCGCTGCAAGACGAATGGGCAGCAATGCCTCAACAGCTCATTGACACCCTCATTCTCAGCATGGGCAGACGCTGTGAAACCTGCCTAGCAGTCAGGGGAGATTATATCCTTTATTAAAGACCGGATGTTTCTTGCTGGACACCCATCACAGGGATGTTTCGGCCTTCAGTCGCATTGCGCTTCATGCTACTTTTTCAATAAAGCTTCTTTTTATCCCTCTGATTTCTCTTTTAGTAAGTGTTGCTTACAGTACTCATGTCCTTACGCATTGGGGATCTTACGGTATTAAATGCGTTGATTTGGAAAGCTTTTGTACAAAGTTATATTGAAAAAACCGTCTCGTCCTTAATTTTTGCACACCAGTGTATACTAAAAAGGAGATCGAATTCTCTGAACTAAAATTTCGCAGAGTTGAATAAAGAGTCTTGTACTGCATGTTCGAAGATTACCAATCTGAGAAATTCCAGAACTTCTGTTTCTAAAGAAGTTCTAGTTATAATTCAAGAGTAGTTTAATTATAGTGGAGTAGGTTTTCTAAAATAAGCTGGTAGTTTTAGTTCAGAAACTAGAGCAAGGGGTAAAATACTAGAACTAAGAAGTTAACTGATAATTCTAGTTCAAAAACTACAACTGGTGTAGCTCAGTAGAGCAAAGAATGATCTAGCTTTTCTAATTCAGAAACTAGAACTTGGAGTAGTTTAATAGAACGAGGAAAAGTAATCTAGTATTTCTAATTCATGAACTAGTGCTAAAAGTAGTTTAGTAGAACTAGTAAATAGTCTACTTGTTACGAAATTACAGTTAAAGATTGTCTAGTAGTTCTAGTTCAAAAATTCGAGCTAAGAGTATTTTATCAGATCTAAGAATAGTCTTGTAGTTCTCGCTCACAAATTAGAGCTGAGGGTAACTTAGTGCATCAAAGAATAGTCTTGTAGCTCCAGTTCCGAAATTACAACTAGAAATAGTTTAGTGCACCTAAGAATAGCCTTGTAGTTCTAGTTCAGAAATTAGAACTAGGAGTGGTTTAGTAGGTTTAGGAATAGTTTTGTAGATCTAGTTCAGAAATTAGAGAAGTAGTTTGGTAGATACAAGAATAGTCTTGTAGTTCTAGTTCAGAAACTAGAGCTAGAAGTAGTTTGGTAGATATAAGAATAGTCTTGTAGTTCCAGTTCAGAAATCAGAGCTAGGAGTAGTTTAGAAAATCTAAGAATAGTCTTGTAGTTCTAGTTCAGAAACTAGAGCTAGAAATAGTTTGGTATATATAAGAATAGTCTTGTAGTTCAAGTTCAGAAATCAGAGCTAGGAGTAGTTTAAAAGATCTAAGAATAGTCTTGTAGTTCTAATTCAAAAATTAGGAGCAGTTTAGTAGACCTAAGAATAGTCTTTTTCAAAAGCTCTAGCTTAGGTGAAGTTCATTTGCTGAATTCAGAATTTAAGTTGAAAACAGTCAAAAGTTGATAAATCTTTCACTATCATTGTGTTGGAACTTGTGCTCAATTCCAGCAAAATAGATTTCAAAACAATGTTGTGTAGGAAATAAATTATCGCAGAGAAACATACCTTCGCCATGTCAGATATCGTGTTGGCATTATCCATCAACTTCCTCTGTTCCAGTTTCACCTTTCGCAAACTGTCAAAATAAAGCAATACTGTGTAAACCTTTTTATACATTTTATTAATAACAGCTATTAATAATATAAAATACTACAATGGTCGATGAGATAAGCAATGAACTACAAAATAATTTTGACACTAGGAACACCCTTAACAAAGTTTTTGTAAAAATTTTTGGATCGTTACATTAAGTCATGTGATGCTACATTACATAGCCAAATCATTTATCATACACGGTGTTCTGTTTGATAACCCTTATTCCTCACTATCTATCGACACAATTTACGTAGTTTCGAAGACAATAAAGCCTTTTGTTGTACCCGAAGAGGTATTTTATCCAATTCCTCTTGAACTGCTTTCCAAACTTCAAGGAGGTCGACGCTTGGACAAGCCGTTTTTTCAAATTACAAAAGCGCAAATGTTTTGTGGGTGAGATTTAGTAGGGAAAGAAGTAAAGGATACGTTTCTTGTTCAATTTTTTCTACGAAATTAAAAGTGAATATTTTAACTTGTGGCTGCATGCTTTGTCTTGATGCAGTTTTACTGATGAATGGCACTGTGGATAAAGAGAAGGTGTTTCATATTTGAAAACTGGGCATAAAATATGTTTCTGATAATATTTGGAGTGGATCTTAACCTTTTCTACAATCCCTTTATTTTTAATTTACCATTATAAGAAAATACAGCAAAAGTCATAATTCCCTTTGAAAAACTTTCTATAGGATTCTTTGATTCTTTTTCTATTTGATTCTTTTCTCTTGGTTCGCTTTGATCTTAAAGCGAACCAAGCTTTAAGATTTTTGGCTAATCTTTAGAATATGGTAACAGGTAGTTTGGCGACATTTTGGTAAGGCGATAAAGGTTACTAGCTAGGACTTTAGGAATAATCTGAGAAATACACAGTTCGAATCACAGATTATTTTGTCTCAGAGAAATGAGAGATCATGAGACATGTCATGTGACATTTTCCGGAAAATTCCGATCGTGATTTTAGCTAATAACACTCAGAAACAATTTCGCTGCTAAAGTGCAGAATCGCCCACTTATTTGTTTGGGGCTTTTTACAAGAATAAGAAGAATTGGATTTTTGTCAATTTTGACTTTTTAAGTGAAAATAGATCGGTGTGTACATAGATAAAGTCAAGAGTGTGCGCAATGCCATTTTTGTGCAATTTTGGGATGTTTTTTTTAAGTGAAAATAGGTCGACGTGTACATGGATACCGTGTATGTGCAAGCAAGAGAGTTTGTGTATGTGCAAGCAAGAGAAGCAAGAGAGTTTGCGATTCTGCACTTTCTCTCAATTTCGCACCTAATCTTCGTCATGATTAAGCATTTTTGTTCCATAAAAGTTCTAGTTTAAGCGTAATTCGGCTAGCAGATTGTTGGAAAAAATGTACATAAAAAAAAAAAAAAAAAAAAAAAAACATGCCTTTATTTTGTGAAAACAATATGGCGTCCAAAACAAAACTAGCAGATTGCTGTAGCAGGGTTGGTCGCCAAATTTTCGCCAAAAAATCGCCAAGTTACCATAATGTAAAGATTCACCAGATTTTTTTCTTCTATTTAATAATAATAAATGGATCTGTTTTTATTACAGTCATTCATTATTGTAATTAATTATAATATTATTGTAATTAATGATATTTCTCACGCCATATGCTACATACTTGGTAAACTTATATTACAAAACGTGAAGAGAAAAACGTGTATGTGGCGTGAACTAACCTCCTTGGCGAGAACACACTAAGCTAATCACTTTTTAATTATATGTAACAATATGCATAGTGAAATGTTTGATTAATTTCACGATTTAATTATTTTGTTAATTTTACTGCTCACTGTTTCGCAAAGTTTGAGTTATGTTATAAAATAAAACAGTAAAATAATTGATATACCTTCCTGTAATCTTTATTTATTATTTAATTTTGTTTAATGTGCATTTAATTTTATCGCCAAGTTTGAAAACGTATATATACTATGTATAAAACTTTATATAAGACTTTTTAAAGTTGGATTTATTCTTCTACTTTTTAATTCTCCCATTCCCATTCCCATTCATTCACACCGTAGCGAGTTTCACGCTTTCGCTTATTTGATTCGTTAGAGTCGGGGGCTTACTAGTAATACAGAATCCCTTAACATTCCAATGCTTACATCAAAAATACGTTATATTCTACAAGACATCATAAATAGTCTTCTTCTTTATTGAATAACGTTTTATAGCATACAAGAGCAAAGCGCAATCACATTTCAACCGCTCAGATTCATAAGAACTCAAGACGGATTAAATTTGAACAGAAAATAAAAGATTTTATGCTATCTTGAATGGCAACACTGACAACAGCGATATTTCGAGAACACCAGGATGATAAATGGTTGTCAAGTGTTCCGTTTCATTCAAACGGAACACTTGATGTAGACGCACGTAGCAAGTAGACGTAAATGCGTACTATTCTTACCGTAACGAAAAGTTGAAAAATTTTGGAAAGCCTCCAATGAACGTTTCTAACGTCTTAAGAGTTATTAAAATAAATTTATAAAATAAAGATTTCTCAAAATCTTGAGAGTTATTAAAATCAGCATCAAATGACCTTGACTTCAAAAGCCATTGGTCTCTTCTGTAACCGCTGACGGGATATGCAGTCAGTTTAAAAAAATTGATAAAATTAAACTAAACAGGACATCGAGGATAGTATGATTCCGTACTGTTGTGTCCAACATTTCGACAAAGACCTGCTTTCTTGATGAAATGTTACAGTAACTAAGTTCTGAACAGCTCTTATTAAGAGGATTTTACTGTATTTTAGGTTAAGAGGTGTTTTTGTATGTACTTGGAAAGAAGTTTATTTTAGTTCTAGTTAAGAAATATTACTCTGTTATTAATAAGATTAAAGTATAATAAACTCTTCTTCTTTTTTTCTCGCTTAATTTTGATTGTAGAGGATTTTTATTTTAGTTAAGAGGTTTTTACTGTAATTTATCTAAGAGGCGTTTTTTAAGGAAAGGGAGTGTAGTTTTAGTTAACTGCTAGTTTTACTGTTATGTTGGTTAAGAGGTGTTTTTAACTGCACTTAGTAAGAAGTTTAGTTTTGGTTAAAAGGTTGTAGAGACATTAGGTATTTTTGGAAGCAAGAGAGATTGAAAAATGAGCACGCCTTTGCCGGGAATCGAACCTCGGACCTCTAGAATACGCGCCCAGTGTGCAGACCACCACACGACGAAGGCACGCTAGGAAGGCGAGAGAAATACCTTATTAAGGTATTCTTCAGTTATGGATGCAATTGAAATAAGTACAGTAAAACTACGTTTTTGCTGCAATTTTGGTTAAACAGGATTTTGTTTGAGTTGAGAGGGTTTTATTGTAATTTATCTAAATTTCATTTTGCATGATTTTGGTTATCTCAAGGATCTACTATTATTTTGAGTGCTTTAATTAATAGAAGTTAATTAGTTAATAAGAACTTTAGTTTTAGTTATAAGGCATTTGTATGTTATTAATGCAGTTGAAATATTACAATAAAAGCACCTTTTTACTGTATGCTTGAATAGAAAGGGTTTTAGCGTAGTTAAGAGGATTATGTGCGTTTCCAGTCATTTAGAAGCACTTTTAGTTATTTTGATTAAAAGATAATTTTTCTGCAGTTCAGAAGAGGCTTGCATTAGTTTTGATAATAGATATTTTATTTCTCTTGACTTCAGAGAAATTTTCCTATACTTTTAGATCAGAAGTAACTATTACTTCGTTTCGGTTAAGAGATGATTGTAAACAAGTGAAATAATTTATTAACTAAAAGTTTGATCAAGAAGTCTTTTTAGTATCGTTAAGAGGATTTTACTGCAATTTGGTAATGTGAGTTTGTCTTGGTTTCGTTAAAAATTCCTTTACCTGCAATTAAGAAGTTTTTATTTATGCTTTGATTAAGAAGTATATAATTGTACTTCATACAGATGTTACTATTTCAGAAAGAATTTTACTGTAGTTTTCATTCAGAACTTTTTTTTTTTTTTTTTTTTTTGTTACTAATTCGATTGAGAAAAATATGATAAAACACTTTCTTACTGTAGCTCAAGTTTAAAAGAATTTTAATTCAATTAAGAGAGTTTTACAGCAGTGTTTTAGTGTGTGGTTTTGTATAGTTTCAGTTAAGTTGTCGTTTGACTGTTATTTTGATTAAGAGCTGTTTTCCTGTAGTTTTGAAGCAGCTTTAATTTTGATTAAGAGGTATTTCACTGTACTTTCAGGACTTTTATTTCTTCTTCTTCTGTAATTCCTCTTGAGATACGTTTCTCTATTATTAATATAGTTGACAAAAATTCAGTAAATCCACTTTTTACTATACCTCTGGTTAAGAACAGTTTTACTGCAGTTAAGAATGTTTCTGCAGCAATTTATTTAAAGTTGACTTTTATGTAAATTTGTCTAAGAAGTTCTTTTTTTCCTTTAGCCGTTATTATAGTTAAGAGAGGTTATTTTCTGTAGTTAAAATAGGTTTATTTTAGTTTTGGCTATGAAGTATTTCGCCGTACTTCACAATTATTTTCCTGTAGATTTGGTTCAGATGAGATTTTACTATACTTTTGGTTAAAAAGCGTTTCTTTGCATTTAACTAAGTGAAAAAAATCTGATGTGTACACCACATGACTTCCTTGTACGGAATATTAAATTATACGCATTTGTTTCTTGCATTTCTTTTAAACTTATTGGATTTAATTAAATCTACTTCGCCAACAGCGCATAAACTACAATAGAATAAAGTAGAATACATAGAACATAGAATAGTAAGAATAGTAGAATACATAGAATAAATAGTAAGAATAGTAGAATACATAGTAGAATACATAGAATAAAGTAGAGTACATAGAATAGAAACTACAATAGTAAAGAATTACATTCTTTAAAATTCACTCTATTTATTTAACATAGCAACACTCTGGCACTAGGCTCACTTAACGGTATTATATTTCATTCATATTATAACTCAGAATGCACAAAACGTATATCATTTAAATAATTATCTAATCGTTGCCACATGTTCTTTTCAAATACTATAATAATGCTAGAATGATGAAAAAAGAAGTTAAGCAAACAAAACAAAAAAGAAACAGTTTTTCACAGACGATTGAGTATTTCTCATTCAATTAATTCAGTTTTCACTTCGCGACAAGACAAAAATACATAAAAGCTCAAAATATCTGTATTAAAAATTACTAATTATTAAAAATTAAATTACTAATTATTAAAAATTAAGTAAATCTTAAACACTTATTTCCTCGAAAAAATTCCAGAAAGGATTAAGCATGATTTAATTCGCAATAATAAATGAAGGCGTTATTTTTGTTGTTGCGAAGCTTAGTCTCTCTAGATTGGCAACAAATCTACAATTCTGCTGTTTCAAATGTAAACAAATATGTCCGCCATGTTATTTAAAACTTAACCGCACTTAAACAGCTTTTAAACTGTTGATAATTGTACAAATATTGCTTCCAGAATTAGGAAAGGCATAAAAACCTTAACCGGAAGATAAGAACAACATAATTCAATCATTTTTTAAAAAAAATGTACAATTTACAAACATATAAGAGTAAAGAAACTGAGATCACTGTGCCGAGTAACAAAGAGGATATATATATAAATATAGTATTTATATACGTTTGGTGCGGCCGATTGCAACCAAAATACGAGGTGCACATCTACATGTTATAGCAGTCCTATATACAAAATTTCAACGTTCTGAGGCTACTCGTTTTTTAAGTTATGCGAGATACGTACGTACGCACGCATGCACGTACGTACGTACGTACATACGTTCGTACAGACGCCACGAAAAATTCTCTTCAGAATTAATTTTAAAGCAGTTTTATTATTTTTTTGGAGGAAACGAGTCTTTTATTCTGTCCTTACGTACAGATATCACGCAAAAACATCGTTAAATTCCATTCGATAGCTGTCAAAATGGATATTTTCGTTGAAATATGCTGCCTGAAACTTTTCGCGATTTCAATAATTCCTTTTTGCTTCGTACAAAGAAGTAAAAAAGCACGTTAAGAATATTTTCTTACTGTAGTTAAAAAGAATTTCTTACTGTAGTTAAAAGGAATGTTTTGGCTGTTACTTATAATTTTTAAAATAATTTGTGTTAACAGAAAGCTTTATTATAATTTTTGATAAGAGGGATGTTATTATGTGTTGATTATAATGATAACTTTTTACTTCCTTGTACGAAGTAAAAAGGAAGTATTGTAATCGCGAAAACTTTCGGGTATTATACTATTTCAATGAATATGTCAATGAAGTAGATTTGATTCAATTCAATAAGTTTAAATGAAATGTAGGAAAAATGCGTATAATTTAATATTCCTTACAAGGAAATCATGTGGTATACTTATCAGATTTTTTAAAATTTTGAATAAGGCAAAATGCACGAGAGCTTTCTGCCAAGGATGAAATGAATTTGTAACAAATTGCCTCGTATTCATGTTACAAATGAGGGAAACCAAGAAAACATCCCTACAGCCAGTAAATTCGCTGGTGTTCGAAACTGAGACCAATTACCAGTGTTCAGCGGAGTTAGTCATTTTGCCACTTGTGTGTTGTAAAATGGCTTCCGTTTTAGTTAGTTGGCTTTGGTTGAGAGGCGTTTCACAGTACCGTAAAACGGTTATCAAAGTTTAACTTTCGAAGTATTTCTCTGTAATTATCTGAGGCTTTACTTTAGATTTGATTAAAAAGCGTTTTACTGTAATTAAGAGAGTCTTCACAGTGGTATGAGTTATCAGGCGCTGCAATCGTTTAGCAGTGCTACAATTATTTACAAAGTGGCAAACACACAAAGAATACCTGAATAAGGGGAAGGATGCCTTAGTGGAGGATTCTTTGAGAGACACTGGCTAGTGTTCATGTTGAAATTCAGAAGTTTTCATTATACTTTTGCTAACATACGTTTTATTGTGCAAATCGGTAGCAGAGATCCGCTGCTGAATTCAATGGATAAAAGCTGATTCGGATAAACAAGAGGCTTACGTATAGATGGCGAGGAGGAACTTCCGCTGGTGCAGACGAACTCTTCCAGGGCAGACGTGTTTGGCTAACTTCGTGTGCTTGTATATGAGCCATGTTTCCCGTAGAACGCTCGCCGCGGCATTCTTCAGCTGAAGAAAGAGAGCAAAAACGATGAAAATCTCGAAAATATGAACGTACAATGAACAAGTACAATGGTTTTGAAATCAATGACGTTAAACATTTGGACTCAACCAAGTCTTAATGATAATTCACGCAACTCTGCACCAAGTATGCACGCTTTGGCGCTAGGAGTATTCCCATATTAATCATTAAATCATCCCATACATAAATTAATTATTACACTAGTTTATAATATCATTACACAAATAAAATTAACTAGTCACTTTATCAGGTTCAGTGTTCCGCCTTACTTGCTTGGAGAACATTCCTGAACCTGACTCGGAACAGGGAGCCTACTAAAGCTATGTTCAATAAATGTGGGAAGTAGACAAGATACACAGGAGGGTATCGAAACCCTTTATTTTCCCTCTATTACAATAATTTCCGTACTTCGGAATACAGAGACCAACTACTTGTGGTCTGAACGTAAGAATATAAAAATATTAATAAACTCTACTTACTTTGGAATAATAAACAAGGGCCTACGTGGAAGATTGGCCGTATATTAACAGGAACCGTAGTAGTACAGAGAACTGTTAACACTACAATACGTTTAAAATTATCAAGAGGATTAAAACTCTGGCCTGGAAGCACCAGCAACCGAGTAAACTGCTAAGCGCCCGCTTCTACTAAACTTCCTCTCTCTCGCTTGGCAAAACGCCACCCTTAAGTACTTTGGCATTCGCCAGACATATTTGCATAAATTAGCTTTTAATTCTGGCCGGAAGTAGAAAATAAGAAGTGATAGTAAAGATTTAAAATAAAATAAACGTTAGTAAAACTTAAGATCCTTACAACTTACACGGCCAGCCTTCGGTCTGGCATGCGTAACTTGGAAACATGCATTCAGATATATGCACTCAGTAAAGCATTAGAACACAAAATACATAAAATACAGTAGAAGCTAACTATGCAAATTAGCATGTAAGCAGAGCGTAGTATTGCTAAGTTTTGAAAAATAAAATTTTCCGGCTGCAAAAATTTCTGGAACATTTAGAACATTTGAAAGGTTAGAATTCTGCCAAAGCAGAGAATTATTAAGAGATTTATTAAAGGAGATCTCAATTTCATGAAAAACAATCATAACAAATTCAATTTTTAAAATACAGAGATCAAATAATGTTTATTAGTGGTAGAAATATTTTAGCTTTAAGTTGGTATCTTAGCTTTAAGTTGGTATCTTAGCTTTAAGTTATAATCAAATTATTCAAAATCCAAATTTATGTATATACAATGTTTAATTTTTGTATAATATGATTTGTTTGTTTGCAGGCGAAAATGCTGCGAACAGAAACGGCGCAGCGAAAACAACGCAAGGCGAAAACGTCATCGAAGTAGAAAAGAAAGCAACGAGAAAACATTGCATTTCTAAAACATCGTCGTCCAAAATAAAGGGCTTCAAAAACTTCGCAGTTTAAAAAATGGTCGTCGAAAATTTCGTAGTAAAAAATAAAGCAACTGCAAATCATCGCATGACGATAACATCGCCAGACATGCGTTTTTCAGGCTTTATAAGTTGCAATTGCATATTAGTATAATCACTTGCGAGCGCAAGAAAGAAAAGAGGAATATATTTATTTTTTTATGTTTTTGAATTAACTAGTAAGTGTTTGCTGAAAAATTAAGAAGAAAAGTTGAGCATTCAAAAGCTAAAAATGAATTAAAAAATTAATGCTACTTATAGCAGTTAATAAAGTTTTATAATTAGATAACTTGTAGAGATATTAGGTATTTTTGGAAACCGGCAAGATGAAAAAAATGCAACCGCCTTCGCCGGGAATCAAACCACGGACCTCTGGAATACCGGCCCAGCGTGCAGAACCACTACACCACGAAGGCACGCTAAGAAGGTGGGAGAAATACCTTATAAACTAATATCAAACAATTTTAATAGAGGTAACCACATGCAGCTATTGATCTTCCTTTTTTCTAATCCTTTTTAGATTACATTTTTCATGATAAATTACCAATGAAACGTTATAAATGAGATTAATTAATTAATGAGTTTATTAGTTAACTATATAAGTTTAAAATTCTATTAACTTCTATACTTAGCATTATTTTTCTACTCATTTTAAGTTTTTGAATGCGCCGCCTAGGTGGTATAGTAATAAGGCTATGATATTGAAGGGCCGAGTTTGAATCCCGGAGAAGGCATCCCTTCATAGGAGGTAACGTGGTACAATAATACACCTATTAGGTGCCTGTACAAGAATATGGCCATCACTTCCGACCTTAGTAGTGGTCAGTGTCGAAAAAAGATAAAATAATGTCCGCCGTTCGGGGGGAAAGTTTTTGAATGCTTAAATTTCCTGCTTTGTTATTCGTCAGAATCTTATTAGTTAATTCAAAAATATTATTACGTTTTATGGATTCGTGGATTTGGAGTATTTGATGATAACACTTAATGCAGAATCAAAACACAGTTTATTCACTAGTAATCACTATTACACAGGACAGTTCCTAAGACAAGTTTACAGCTGTCGAAAAACTATGACAAACACGCTGAAACACTCAGCATATTACAGCCTTCAGGCTATAACGGTGAAGACAGCTTCATGGCAAAGCACTAAATTACAGCTCCTGACTCTATCGCTCTCAAGCTGATCTCTGAGTTCAATACACTACTACTTTCTCCACGTACAGGTAGGGTTTATATAGCTCCTTCGGGAATATTCCCGATAAAACCGCTAAGAATGGGTTCTAGAATGCTCTCGCTCCGTCTATGGCATATCGCCAGTTTTGTTACCAAATATCGCCAAATGTGCGATCTCGCATCATATCTGGCAACCTTGCCTTTCCCTGCCACTTTCTGGAAAAAGCTAATCCCGCTTTTCGGAGAAGCTATCTCATCGCAGCTGAGCATTTCGCAACAATATGAAATATAAAAGTAAAAATATTATTCCTTCCTTCCTGCGCTCACAAATCGTTATGTCAATGTTCAAGAACTGCATGTTGTTAAAACACCTCAACGTATAATTGCCTGCATGTTACTCAGCTGTCCCATAATGACGTCCAATTTGAAACAAGTTTCGAGTCTCCACTTGCTATCATGTTAAAATCATTCGTCACAGAAGCCTAGACGTTAGCTGCTTTTTGATTCTTTATTTGATACTGTCTCCATTCCTATTCCTTGTCTCATCTGATTGGACAACTCCAAAATTATATTCTTTGAATTGGATTTTGTACATGTTCAAATCTCTCATCGCACCTGCTTTGCTGTCTCATCAATTTTGCTGTCAAGGACAGCTACCTGCTGTCCCAAAATGATATCCTCTGAAATGGACTTGGGGAATAAAACAAATCACACGAAGCTAAGTAAGAGTTTTACGGAGAAAAGGAAGCACTGTGTTATGTCCTTTTTAAGCTAAATATTCTCTGAAAGGCAAATTCGGGTGTGATACTTGTCTCATTGTCCTAATGAAGGGAACGATATTTTATTGTTTGACATTAGCACGGGACTCTTTTCTTCAAACATTCGGGTACCTGTAGATATCTGCACTTATATGAGTCACATTATTTTCAGATTATGAAGTTGAAAAACATGATGTGTGTCATTGACCATCTTCAACTCTTCAACACTTTCCGTTTCGTTTAAGTCCTCGTGGTTCAAGAAGTTCAGTCTGAAGACCGACAACGTCTGTATGTTACACGACGACAACTTCTGCAATGTTTTCCAACTAGATTTGTTTGAAGTCATTCCTTCAATAAACTTTTCATCACTTCTTCAATGCAACTCGTTTTCATCTGTCTCCATCACGTCTTCAATACAACGTACGCTAGTGGATCTCATTTGATTCGTCGGAACATACTGCTGAATAGAAGAGTATACTTTTAATGGGGATGAGCAGTACGTTTTCCAACTATAATTACTTTCCTTAAATTTCAGCAGCAGTTAAGAAATGGAATATTCATTCTCACGGCTTCGACGTTTGCGTGAAACGTCTCAGTTGAATAAACTATTGAGACAAAAAGAGAGAGAGAGATAGAATAAAAACTGGAAAGAAGTAAAGATTATTGTCATACACTTACCCTCTTGGACAACTGAGTGTCCATCATGAAGTTGTGGACGTGCTTTTCTGCTCGGGTCAGTTCCAGTTTCCTTGCTATCACAGCTACCACCAAGGCTGTGCA